AAAAAACCAGGTTTCACTGATAAATCATAGTTTTTTGTTTGTTTGGTTGGTTGGTTAGTTTTTTGAGACAGAGTCTCACTATGTCACCCTCAATAGAGTGCTCTGGTGTCACAGCTCACAGCAACCTCCAACTCCTGGGCTCAAGCAATTCTCTTGCCTCAGCCTCCCAAGTACCTAGGACTACAGGCACCTGCCACAGCACTTGGCCATTTTTGTTTTTGTTGCAGTTGTCGTCATTTTTGGCTAGCCCAGGCTGGGTTCAAACCCACCAGCCTCGGTGTATATGGTTGGTGATCTACCCACTGAGCTATGGGCCCCGCCCAAATCATAGTTCTTTCAAACTTAACTACTCACATCAGTAAAACCTAAAATTTACTTCTTTTGTTTTTTTTAAGAGGCAGGGTCTCAGTCTGTCACCCAGCATGGAACAAAATGGTGCAGTCATAGCAGTCATAGCTTACTGCACCCTTGACCTCTTGGGGTCAAGCAGTTCTCCTACCTCATTCTCCCTAAGTGCTGGGATTATAGGCATAAGCCATCACACCCAGCCTAGAGTGGTTCTTAATCCTCTGTATGGGATCTACTTTTCTTCAGTATTAAGCTTTTAAAAGATACAATTAGGCTCGGCGCCCATAGCACAGTGGTTACGGTGTCAGCCATATGCGCTGATTGGTAGGTTCGAACCCAGCCTGGGCCCGCTAAACAACAATAGCGGGCGCCTGTAGTCCTAGCTACTTGGGAGGCTGAGGCAAGAGAATCACTTAAGCCCAAGAATTGGAGGTTGCTGTGAGCTGTGATGCTAGGGCACTCTAACCAGGGCAACATAAACTCAAAAGAAAAAAAGAGAGAGAGAGAGATACAAATGTTTAAGAGAATACAGATCACAAAGTAATTTTTTACAAACTGTAGTTATTGAAAAATAAAATTACTAAAATATTGGGATAAATGTTTAGGGAGATACTCACTGTGGCTAGCTGATAATGGTTCCTGTTAATGTGAAAATGTTATATCCACATTAAGTGTTCACACAGATTGTCTTAAGGAAGGAGCTATAGCCTTTAGTTTGTAAAAAATGATTAGAGATGAGCCTGCTTTCTTCCCCAAGTCACATTCTGGTAATAGCGTTTATATGCTGCACTCTTTTCCCACGTTGTTTCAAACATGTCACAATTGAAGAACTAGTGTTTGAGATGGATATATTGCTGTGTTATATGGTAGAGCCAGGATTCACCCTGAGCTCCATCTGATTCCAAAGTGTGGCCAGTGCCACAATGCTGCCTCCTATGCCAGAGGACTGAGAGGAGATTTACAATAGTCTCAGCTATTCTAGTGAAGTGGCACCAGCAAAGCAGAGTGCACAAAAATAGCCTTTAGAAGAAAAATAGGTCATTTTTCTCTTTTTACTTTCTCACAGAAATGGGCTCTTCTTAAGTGAATTTGTAAGGGGAAGAATCTCTTTATGTTGCTCTGCTGAGAGTGCAACGGCTTCGTAAGAATGATTAAAGCACGTGACAACCTCAAACTCCTGGGCCGAAATGATTCTACCGCTTGTACCTCCCAAGTTACTGGGACTATAAGGCCTTTGCTACCTTGCCTAGCTACACTTGGCTTTTTAAGTCCCTTGGTTAGATCTACTTACGTAACTGTGCCCCGTGGGAAATGGTACTCAGGAAAGGATTAAAA